TTTATAAATGGTATTAACTGTTTAATCTTACTTATTATAAAACGCAGATTGTGTGTGTGTGTGTGTGTGTGTGTGTGTGTGTGTGTGTGTGTGTGTGTGTGTCTGAACGTTTATATATTGGATCGGTTTCCTACATTTTTCAACTATTTCAACAAAACTGGATCGTAAATTACCTTGTGGTGGTTCTGACAGTGCCAAAAATTAAAAAAAAAACAATTGTTTTTGCATGAAATCAATTTGAAAACACGATTAAGTTGCAAACAAAACAACTCATATCAAGTTATACTTATAAAACCCTGGTTGTTTGTGTGTGTGTGTGTGTGTGTGTTTACTTATTTATATATGGGATCGGATTTCCGACATTTTTCAAATTTTCAACAAACTTCACTTTTTTTTTTGGCAGGTAGTGTTTTTTATTGTCTTGCACTTTTTTTCTTTATTTTTTACAATGCTTTAAAAATTCCATTTAAAGACAATTTTTAAAAAAATTCTATTCAATCGATAGACTCATAACGATTGTTTTTTGTTTGAGTTTGGGTTTGACCAATTCGTTAAAAAAAAAAAACAAAAAAAAAAAATAATTAAGACATGCGTGTCCGTCAAAACAATAATCTTTGTCAATTTTATTTTTTCAGTCTTTAAGGCCCGATATTCTATCTCTTATGTTACATCAAACTGCTAAACATAATTGGCAGTTTTTGAATATATAATAGCCTTCATTTAATGGCAGGCTTAAAGTTATGGTTCACTGGTAGACTACTACTGTATGTTTCGCATTCGACCTACATATAGGCCTGTCACATTTCGATAAGAATTAAGGCATTGTACGCCGCAATTTACTCTAATTTCCTAAAACTTTTGTAGAATGCATCGAATACTAAGAAAAAAATATACAAACGTTTACTATTATTTATCTCCTAGTTGAAGGTTTTTATTTAAATGGTGTTTTTAAAATTTTTGTTAATATATAACAAACCCATCTATCAATCTTACGTTGTCCAACCGGATGGTGAAACATCAGCTATTTTTAGAAAAGCTTTAAATGTATTTTCAGTTAACTTTTTGCTTTCGGACATTTTTCATGCTCAAAATATGCAAATAAATTGCTTATTAATTATTAAAAACACTTTAAAATTTATTATATATAATTAAGCCGATTCCATTAGAAAATTTACCTGGAAAGGCGTTGATAGGAATTCTATACATCAAACAAAATTGAATTTCAATTTAAATCATGTCAAACGATTCAACAGTAGTTTACACATGCCATCACATACATTAAGGCATTGCAATTATTAGGAGGCTTTTACATGTTTATATTTTCATATGTTGTCCAGTTATTAAGTAAATGTATAGTTACTTTTTAATTAATTCACGCAAAGCAAGGCGATAAAGCCACTAAGAGGCACAAGGTTACATAGTGTTAGAGGATACAAGAAAAATGAAAGAACTCTTAAAGAAAAACAGTAAAGAGCGATAAAAGACACGGAATTAAGAAGACGGATGATAAAGATTGAAAGCGGTTTTTAAAGTTTTGAAGATCAAATTTGGACTGGAAATCAAGAAACTTGAAGAGAGCGTCATAAGTGAGAAATGCGGGAACAGAATACACACACAAACACACAAAACCCCCCATATATATATATATATATATATATATATATATATATATATATATATATATATATATGTGTGTGTGTGTGTGTGTGTGTGTGTAATATAAATATAAAAGTGAACATAGAAGTCAACGCATAGAGGCGACAGTCTGTTTCATACTAGATGCAATCATCAGGCCACCTGTGGCCTGACGATTACATCTAGCATGAAACAGACTGTCGCCTCTAAGTGTTGACTTCTATGTTCACTTTTATATTTACACACGCTCTAACTCTCATAGTGATCACTTTATCCCATAAATATAGCACATCTTAAGACTATATTTCTTCATATATTTCTATATATATAATAAATGTGTATGTAAGTGTGTAACTGATTCACACTATTTCAACTTTACTCCTGGAGGCCGTAGCCCAACATAAATTATTTTTGAAACAGGCCGACTCCGAGAGCAAACTAAAAGCATTCAGGGCCCAATTCCGACACACAATCCTGAAATTAAAGGGACACAACTCCCAAACTTTCAATAATTCATGTTCAAATGAAAAAGTACTCTTCTCAAAGTTGGAATCAGGCCCACTCCGTGAGCAAATTAAAAACATTCCCGATTCGAACCCACAATCCTGAAATTTTGGGTTCCCAAGCTTTAAAAATGCGATTGATTTCGGCGATCACTTTCTATGTTATTTTGCGGCGAAATTTCTCTACGATAACAAATTTGGAATTACATTTGTGAATAATCGAAATTAATTGCGAAATCCAGCGAAAGTCACCCATAAAATAAAAAATACTAAAAGTAAATACCTACATTAATTAATCTGTTTTTTTAAATATCAATGGTGACAGAAGAATTATCGTTGAATATTTAAAACGTAAGCTTAAATATTAAAGCAATACTTAATTTATTGTTGCCTATTGCATCTACTTCTTCCTTGTGATAAAGGCCCAATCAAGAGTATTCCACAGGAAGAACCTTCAATGCCGACTGACGGGGGTCTTTGATTTTAATATATATATATATATATATATATATATATATATATATATATATATATATATATATAAAAACAGTGCCTAAATTACCATTTACCATTCTTTTTGTGATTACTTCTTTATAATATTACTTATACTGCCCCATTTAATAGACTGGTAAGGATTGATCCGCTGTATAAAATTTCTGAAAAAATACTGATATTACACTATTTATTGGACCATTTTGCACATGACACGTTAACTGAAAAACACTTCCAACAAAAAAAAATCGTGGATTTGCCACATTACTATATTCAAAAAATGTTTTCACTTGAAATATTTAAAATACAACTCTAGTGTTGCGACACTGCACGCTCCAAAATTATGTAACCGTTAATAAATAACATACATTTCGGTGTGCAATACATCTATTTTCATCTTGGAAGTTACCTGAAATAAAAAAAAGATTAATACCTGAGGATGACAATATGATGATTTTCGAAAGTACAAGTATCGTCGGAACATTTCATCCATCTTACAATTTTAAACATAAGGATCGCGTCATTGAATGTTAATGCTTAATTAAAACTGTTAGCGAAGAAATTTCACCATTAATTACATTAACTTTATTGATTAATTCTTTATAATATTAATTATTCAGCACCATTTAATATATATATATATATATATATATATATATATATATATTCAAATTAAACTATTATCAGTTAAAACCTGTGTAAACCGATAGTATAAATGAAATGCTATGAACGACTGGAGAGGTGAAATGAGGATTTTCTGGGGCAATAGAAACCTGATCAGTGAGACACGGCATTAATCTTGTTCGAATCGACATACCGTCATATTTTACTATTTTAACTGTAAAATGATGAGGTCTTGCATGCCAATCTAGTATTACGCATAAATTTGTGAAGTCTAGATAGCAAACAGGAAATCTAACTAAAACAATTACCGTGAGAATATTTACTGAAAATGAACAGCAAAGCTACGTGACGGCGGTGGGAAAATAACTGAAGCCGTATTTCGTTGCTTATAAAAGGCATCTATGCATTAGACGCCTCCGTCCATCGAGGAAAACAAATGTTTGTCCTTGTACTTCATAGCCTTCCCAAGTATCCCAAGTTTTACACATTGAATAGCATATTTAAACATGAGAACTTGATTAATCATGACAAATGCATCACAGACCGAGAGGAAGTACTAAATTTATGGTAAGTATTTAGAATATAATAATTATAAGAGATGTTAACATGCGTCGCCGATCTTTGATTATAAAACGCACAGTAGTATTTGGAGATATTTTATACGGAAAAAATGAGTATTATACGCAAAAATTCGTCTTATACGAAAAATGCGTCTTTAAAGCAGTAAGTTAATGTATTACATCCCGTGGACAGTGCATTCGAGGACCCTCTATTCTCTCTTTGTATAAATGAACTACCCTGTATATATACGACTTTCGAATGAACTCGCCTGTATATGTAATTCATACTGTTATAAAAAGCAGGGAGCCTGCTTAAACAAGTAAATCCATTAAAATGTACTTTCTTCAGTAATAATCAATAATGTCAGCTTAAAAAATAAAATCAATTAATTCTTTAGAAATTATATATATATATATATATATATATATATATATATATATATATATATATATATATATATATATATAAAAGTTACGTTGATTTTTCTCAACGGGAAGTCGAGGTCCTAAGTTAAGATCACTGTATTATATATGGCGTTATAGAACACCGGAGTTGTAGAAATATCTTTCAAAGAAAACTCTTCTTAGCGGAGAGTAAATATTGAAACCTTTGGCTTCATATACAATAAAATGTCTGACATCTTTTGTATCCGTCTTGTGTAAAAATGTCACTGGCCATACGCGACATCCTTCGAAGCTGTCATATGTTGTTTCATTTCCGAAAGTCAACTTTCTGTCTTCTGAGAAAAACTTCATCTTGTCTCTTCTGATGCGCCAATCGATGCGAAACAGACTGGCCAGCTGTTCCTAAAGCAAGCACCTAAACTGTCTCTTTCAGACATGTCTCGCAACACGCCAAAAGTTTCGAATTTTTTTTTTTCCACTTATACATATTCGAAGTTTTATACGCCAAGGACCGAATAGAAACAGTTTTGAATTTGATGGTAATGTAAAAATACAACAGAGCCTTCATCCACGTTTCCACTGACCATTTATTGACTACACTATGTTGCATCTCCGTTCAAAAGGAAACAAACAATTAAAATAAATGCCACGATGAGAAACGTGCACACAAACCCTGTTTCCAGTATTTTTTAATATAATATTCATGGCTTGGCTCTCTCGGTCACTCTCAAAATACATGCCAAGCAATACGAACGGCAGGAGACTTCCGGCCACATAAAACTGAAAGATCGCTTCCCGTACGATCACCAAAGTTAAGCAACGTCAAGCCTGGTCAGTACCTAGGTGGCTGACCGCTTGGGAATACTAAGTTCTGTAAACTAAGATGTGCGGGTGGTGTAACGGATGATGGTTAGGAATTGTTAATCGGAGAGCCGAGTTCCAATTCAAGTGGGGTTCGTTATATTCACTTACGCGCAAATAACACTGAGAAACGTCTGAAGCAACATCTTCGTCACCCAGCTATGTGGTAATTAGTAAAACTTGTATCATTAAAATGATTATTGTCTCAAAAAATTTGTACAAAATATTCAGATAACGGCATTAAATAATCCATACGGTCGATATGCCGCTAAACAAAAACAACTAACCAAAACAATCGAACAGCAACCCTCAGGACTACGCGAAGGAACAACTGTCCTCCAGACTGTAATAAACCGGAAATCATTAATGTCCGCTTTCTTGTCACTTGATCCCAACAGATTTTAGTATTGTGAGTGCCGATCAAAAGAGTCAAGTGCATCACCTCCTCAACCTGCCATAAAACACAAAACATTTAGAATCAAGGTAAAGTCTCACACCTTCCCGTTGGACATGGGTCCCCAATCTTAGTTTCACCATAAGATGATGTGTTTGGCTATATAATAACACAAGCAATGGTAAAAGGTATTGTAGGTCAGAAAATAAGTAACTATTTCCTAACAGCGGAAGAAAACAGTTTTCGAACTCACTTAAACCTCACACACTGGTTGACCGAATTTTAAGGCGGTTATATCATTCTTAGTATGAGGATTAGTCCATTCCGATCTTTCTCTTCAATAGATATCTCCTACCATCTTGAATATTGCCTAATGTAGCTTTGCAGACACCAGTTTCGTTCGCAGGGTGTAGTTAATTCTAGTCAAACGCTTGTGGTTGAATACAAAGAAAATAATTTTTCGACCAGAAAAACAATATTGAGATGGAATTGTAAAACAGACGCCAAATTTTATTTGGTTGCAACTTTCTTGTATGAGCCAGCTGTACGCGAGCGAAGGAAACTGGGGCAAGCTGAGGGGGCGATGGTGTAAGCTGCTTTTGCCTTCCTTTCGTGTGGCGGGCGAGTGGTCCTCTCATTTAGTCTGCTAGGGACCACTGTCATATAAATAAGCTTTCTTTATCTTGCCACCTTTCCTCTAGAAAATGTCATTCATCAATAACTCTTCAGTATCCCTACCTGTTTTGAGAATGGTTAGTCATGAATTTTATCTCTGCAATTAACGCTATTAACGTCTCTTTTAAGAAATTATTTTGTTGTTAAATCATATTTTCTCACATATGTGATCTTCTGTTCAGAGCAAAGTAAACTTCGTATTACGTAGAATTTCCGAATAAAAAGTGTTATGGGACCTTACCCATAATAACATAATGGACTATTCCATACGTAATAAATACTGCGCCTCAAGAGGAAGCAGGGAGTTCAACCCGAAGTCGGGCGACCGGCTGATCGGCTGATCGGTTGAACTCTCTGCCTTCGGGCGGGGAGGAACCCGAACGAGGCTACGCCGAAAGGCGAAGTCTCTTTCGGGGAGGTAAACCGACCCTGAAGCCGTTTATATTGTTCAATGTGCATATTTTTGGCTCGGAGATCCCACGTTAAACGGCCTTGTGCCACACGATGCCCTCTTGGGTGGAGGGGTGACTAAATACCGTTCCGTCTGAAGTCTGGAGTTCCGTCTGAAGTCTGGAGTGAAGTCCGTCAGGAATCTGTCAGTCAGAGCGAGCGAGCGAGTCAGTCAGAGGCAGTCCGAAACAGAGTCGTGTTCAGACAATTACTACGAAACCTGATTGTTCGTACTAACACTTTTCTACTTCTCTGTACATATTCCTGTTTGTAATAAATCTGTTTTATTACATATCCGTATTCGAGTTCTTCTTTATTGGTTCTACCTTGTACTATCACCGTGGTACAAGGAACCGGTCCATAACAAAAAGACTGTACATTCTACTTGACGACCATAACATCATCTTTTGCCCAAGTTCTGTGCAAAGGATTAATGAATGAAAACAATGTTTCGCTGCTAAGATGTCTTGCGGTATTTCGTTACACTGTACGAGATACTGTATTGTAATACGAGTTCGGACGACAAATATCCGAATATGCATTTTTCAGTGGCTATTCTTTAGAGCTATTGCATTATTCGATGCATATGAATCATCCTGATGTGACAGTTCGTCCCTGACAATGACACTTTAATTAGAGCTTAATGTCTACAGGAAACTTTAAATTACTTTCAAAGATGTAATTGCTTTACGAAATCTAGCGCCTTCAGTTTTATGTGTGTCTCTCTACGATATTAGGCCACACTAATGCTCTCATCCACGCGAAAAATAACAAGTTTCAGTGGAAACTAAGACACGACAAAAGAATACCATAACGTCTTATATGATTAACATTTCTCCAGCACCATTGTAGAAAATGCCGAGACCTCGTTCACCGAGAATTCTAAAAGAATCAAATGTCGAATTAATAAGACCAGAATTTTACACAAAGGTATGATTTAAATTTAGATCTGAAATTCACAGTATACGTTTCCTTAATTTACTGTGCCCGTCAGGACGTAGGGGGTTGTGGCTCTCCACAAAAATCTGGTATCGTAGACTAAATCAGAAAAAAAGAAAGGGTAACCATTTAGATAATTGACAAAGAGCATCATTATTGAGTGAAAAACATGAAGGAAGCAGAATATATTGGCCTGTCAAACAAATGCATTTTCTTCTTTATGTATCGTACCACTTCAGGACATAGGCGATCATAGCTCTTTACAGCTTGTTCTGGCGTTTCGCTCTTAATCAACATTTTATTTGTTATTTCTACTAAACCCTATAACGCTATCCATTTACTCAACTTCCCAAGTTACACGTTGTTTTCCTCCGCTCCCTTTTCATTCAGTACGTTCTGTGAGTATCAACTTTTCCAAGCACTCCTTCCTCATTACTTGCCCTAGAAATGTCAACTTCCTCTTCCTTGTTTTCAAATATAGGTTTCTTTTTTTCTTCATTTTCTCTAAAACCTCGACATTGCTCACATGTTCGGTCTATAGTGTCCTAAGCATCCTTCTATGGAACAGCATTTCTGTTGTTTCAAGTCTTTTTTTCATCTTTCAGGACATAGTCAAACCTTCACTGCCATACGGGAGTATACAATATTTTGATATATCTGATTAATATTGTCCTATACATAACACGCATTAAAAAAGAAAGAAAATTATGTTGAAACGATAAATATATAGGTAAAATAAACCCCTTTTTATGTTCTGTTTTATTTATGCATATGGTAAATTATTATGCATATATATCATCATTGCTAATTAATGGAATAGTTGTTTTCGGATGTTGGTTTTACTTCAAGAACATTCGTACACAAACTATGAATACATATATCATCAAGATAGCCTTCCCCATCATCTGTCTATTGGAACGTGAGAATCACAGGCGTACGCAGTAACTGAATCCAAATAACATCAAATATTGCGCAGATTATATTCATGAATATTATATATATATATATATATATATATATATATATATATATATATATATATATATATATATATAAAGAAGGCAGTGGGTAAATTGTCACCATTCTATATTATTAATTTTCCGCATGTCAGTTGTTTGTTTTTAATTTTGTCGACAGAACAGAAAAGTAAGGTCATTTGGGCAACGTCTGTGAAAAAAAAGCACAACATGATACAAATCGCCCCGCCAAAAATTTGGAAACCGTACGCTGGAATTGGCGCTGGAAGCTGTTATACGAAAATTTCAGACTGTTGGGGTGTCAATCTGAGGAGAGTGCAAACGATTTGGAAAGAGTTGGATGATATATCTAGTCAATATCATAGTGTTTGGAGTGATCTGTAGTGATAGTTACGTAATGCTGCAATTCATCTTCTCGTAGGACGTCAGACTCAACACGGGGGTCGAGATCAAGTGTCTTGAAGAGGTAGTGCTGCACTGGGTCAATAGGGTGGCGGCTGGAAGACTCTGTGTCTGGCAACAGGATTCTGCACCATGTCACGTAAGCAGAACTCAATCAAGGCTGACAGACAATTACTGCGACCACTGAGCTTACCAGACAACAACCTAATTGATGATTATGTGTGGAGGGCGCAGTTGAGCGAGAGACCAACAAAACTCCAAAGATATACTGAAGGCAGGGATTGTGACAGTATTCACTTGTCAGGAAACCGTCCAGTAATAGTTGCAGGACAATGATGATTAATCTTTAGTATTTCAAGATATATATATATATATATATATATATATATATATATATATATTATTTTTTATATATATATTTATACGCACACACACACACACATATATATATATATTCATTTATATAGATGTATGTATGCATATATATATGCATGTATCTATATATCTCTATAGATACGTATCTCTCTCCCTCTCTCTCTCTCTCTCTCTCTATATATATATATATATATATATATATATATATATATATATATAGTTACAGTTGTTGCAACGAAAGAAAAGTGTATATTCAAAATATTATGGAAAATAAAGTATAATACATATTTTGAAATAAAAAAAATCCATATATATATAAAAATATATATATATATATATATATATATATATTTTATGTGTGTGTGTCTATATATCTATGTATCTCTATATCTTTATTTATCTATCTCTCTCTCTCTCTCTCTCTCTCTCTCTATATATATATATATATATATATATATATATATATATATATATATAGTGCATCAAAAATACTTTTATAAATATTGCAGGTGGGTTCCTCGCAACAAAACAAGGAGAGATGTTGTCCAAACCCTTCGTTTTAAAATTAAGTTTAGTGAAATTTCACGATAGATGGGTGGCGACGATGTGTTTGTAAAAGTATTTTTAATATATATATATATATATATATATATATATATATATATATATATATATATATATATGACATAGAGAGAGAGAGAGAGACCCCACCCCGAGTTGGATTTAGTAATCAACAGTGCTAAAGAATTAGGATGAAGTTGCTAATTACTTGGGTAGAAATTTATTTTTTTTCTCTTGTTTTT